ACACGTGTCGTCGAATGTTCTAGCGTTATCGCTAGCCTCCTCGTAGGTTCCAGAATAATCTGTAATGTTCATGAAGTGGGCGTAATCTTCACATAGACTATTTACTACAGACCTGAAGCTTCTCGAACGCTAACAGGCTGCATTTGCTCTTAGAAGTACTAGCAGTGTAACAGGACGTGATTGTCACAGTGTCAGCCTCATTGTCGTGCTATCTTTTCGCCAAATCAACACGTGCCTCCCACAGGCGTGTTCATTGGCGTATTTCCTCTTTCGTACAGGTTCTTTCATTCCACCTGCAGCAAGGAAATTTCCACTCTCGAATTCAGCAAGAGTGCACATGCAGCCATCTCGTTCTGCTCGTTTCACTTCTATCAAGTATTGCAGATATATTAGAGGACTGGCGGTCACCAGGAGCCCTCACATTGTCGTTAGCGTGGTGAAATAGTAGGCCGGTAAAATGGGCAATCGCGGGGAACTGTGGGATATGGCGGCTTCCCGTTCGACGCACCACGCGGGCTATCAGTGGCACACGAACATTTTTTACCGCTTCGTTGAAAAAAAGCACCTCTCCGTGCAATGTCAGTGCTTTAGAAATTCCTTTTTTTTGTTTCTGCTTACCTTGATTGCGACAATGATAAGCTACGAAAGCTATGAACTGTAAGGAAACTTTTTTATCGCACCAAAATTATCTGCAATGCTTTTATGTTGCTCGGGAGTACTGTCAGTTTGGCTAGCAGAACAGTTTATACAGACGATAGTTTTCATTGCATACGTTAAAAAAATCGCTGTTGTAAAGATGGCGGGGGATGGTGATGACTGTAGTAATGTGCTAAATGTTCATTTCGGTATCGCTGCTTCGGCAGACATTGTCAGTCAATCAGCACTAAGCGCAGCATTTATCGAGTGCGTTGAGATACCTTTTTTTTTCTAGCCTTCAGTGCGCTAGGAGATGCAACGTGCTATAAGCTGCGCGGCATGGCAGCAAATAAACAACACTCGGAGGTATAGACGGCACCGAAGAATCAAAATTCTGCGCATGTTTAACACAGTTCTTCGTATGTGTGCCGTCCTGGCAAACAGTTTCGCTAAGATAAACGCAAACGAGTTTGTCCTGCGTTTCGTGTAAACTTATCTTCTTGAGTTAAGGTTTCATGTCTTTTGTCATATAAGGGGGTTTTAGAATACCATTTGCAAACGCCACGGGCGTTGCGGGCGTCATATGAGTTTTAGAATTGCGTTTGTCCTGCTGCAAACCCCAACGCACGATCGCAGTGACACCGTAGCCTCGAATCCAGTGTTCGCGGGTGGCGATCGCCACACGCTATTTAGGATTTTCTGCATGTGGGCCGCGAGCGCAAACGCTGACTAATGTTACAACGCATGCGCAGTGGCAGGTACCCCACCTAAATGGCTCGCGGGGCGCTAATTCAAAACTCCCTAACTATGGGTCCAATGGCTGGCACTCATCGTGTATGGCAGTTAGATTTCGCCCACGTGTTCCTATGGTATAGTTGCAAGGTGCCCCTGCCCGACAATTTATATATCGATATATTATTCACAGCAGATTCATGCCCCAGCTTCTTATTAGTGCAGAATATAGACAAACTTGGAATAAATGGTCTTCGCACACTCTGGCTTCAACGTCCCACCATCTTCGCAAAAGAAACCCTGATGGAATACGAAGCAGCACCGCTGCGCAGGGGGACGCCACGGGTTGAACGGCGCAAACGCAGGTGCGCCGATCAGTGCTGGAAGATTTATATGAACCGATGGCTGGCGCAAGCCTTGTTTCTTCAGTGTTTACACGGGCGCTAGACCACAGCTGGCACGCGTTTCGCCTCGACTTCCACGGCCTTGCGATCGGTGTAGTGCAGGAGAGAAGCGAGCGGCGGTAGCGGCAGATCTTGCGAGCGAGCGGATGAGGCAACAACTGCGGGTGCGGCGGTGAGCACGTGGCACGCCAGGAAGAGAGTGAGGTCAGCGCACACTGCTAGGAAGCATGGCGTCGATGCGCAGTTGTGGCGTGACCTACTTGCCACCGCTTCATCATCTGCGACAAGAGAGCGAGTTGCGGCGCGTTCATACACGGACGCACGGAGGGACAGCGTTCCTAAGACTGGTCAAAAAGCTGCTTCGCATCTAAAATGACTAATTATCGTCCCCCAATCAAGCATGCAAAGCATCCTAATTCTAAGCGAATCGAAAATCAGACATAAATACTGCAAAATTTGCTGGCTCGCGCTGCTCACCTGCGATATCTCGTGCCTGCTTCTCTGTATTAATTCTAAGCCTTCGGTGGCTTGTCCAACATGAAGTTCGGCTGTTGATGGTGTCCCGCGTACCATGTTTTCAGGGAGAAGTGACGAAAAAAGCGTTAGAGTGTGTCCACGGAATGAATGAGGAGTGGGGCGATGCTTCGTAGGGTTTATCAGTAAACCATAAATCTTCTGTCTATCCGTCCGTTCGTCTCATTCAGCTGAGTGAGCCATAGAACTAGGCGGTGTCCGTCCGTCTGCATGTCTGCCTGTCCATTAATCCATCCTCCTGTCTGTCTGTCTGTCTGTCTGTCTGTCTGTCTGTCTGTCTGTCTGTCTGTTTGTCTGTCTGTCTGTCTGTCCGTCTGTCTGTTAGTACGTTCATCTGTCTGTGCATCCGCACCTGCAGAGTGAGTCGTAGAACAAGGCGGTCGCGTACCGAGAGAGACATTCATGTAGAGTCCCACAGCTTCAGGAGCTTCGCTCCTAAAAAGATTACGAGAGTTTATGGCGTCATCAATGGCGTCACAGATGCCGAAATTTGCGACACCATTTAAGGTCATAGTCCCTTCTCTTGATGTAACTTTGCACAAGAATGTCATCACACCACATCGTAGTTGCATGACATGTGGCCCAATCACGGAAGCAATAGAAAGCCAGGTGAAGTTCCTCTGGTCTTGGAGGCAGTGTGAAGCCACGTTCTGTACAGAAAGCTTTCGAAGGGTGATGGGATTGCATGAAATTATTAGCTGAGATAAAAATAAAAGAACATGTCTTTTGCTTTTATGTTGTCTCAAGTGAATGCATAAGAAACTCGGTGAGTTTTTTTTTCACGACCTGCATTACTTTCTTGTAAGTCACTCGCATTAGAGCAAGTTGGAAGAATAGTGGTGCCTTGACAAGCCACTCTTCAAACATTCAGTCTAAGTGCCAACAGATACTGCAAGGATAATACGGCGTGGAAGAAGAAACGAATGAAGAAACACAGGCAACTCATATATATTCCATCCAACGCATATTGGGGGAGTCAGAAATGTGCATCTGCGGAAAGAAAATATGCAATATACAACCTCCGCGCGAAAATGCTTGCACAGCGAAGATGAGTTGTCATATAGCAGACAACTCACCATCGCAATATCGCTATTACACGGCACTTTGATGGCGATCAAGGCGGATCCGTGTGTCACTTCCAGAGTATGCAGTTCGGACTCCTTGGCAGAAGGCTAGAATGGTGAGCGTGCACACGACATAACTCTTTAAAGATTTATTCTCACTCTAATCACTTCTTCTTGCTCTTCTGCGACTGGCAAAAGCACCACGTATTACTTCCTCCCTTGCAGAGTAAGCGTGCCATCCTTTTCGTGTAGCTTCTCGCCGACTGAGAGGCTTCTGGCGAGCCACATGCGTGACCTTCGTTTTGGTGGAGCGTCTCCAACTAGCTCTGAGGCGTCCTATACGATAGGCCAATGCACTCCAACGGTCCAAAACAACAAAATGTGTGGTGTAACGGGCGAGCAGGTTTAGGCCCAACGCCATGCTTGCGCAGAAGCTTCCACATCAACACGAGGTCTCACGGGTCATATTAGTGCTGGTGGTTGCTATCGTAACGTATTTTACCTGTCTTGTGAGGCACCTATGTGCAAACGGGAAGGTGGTGAGCGTCTTTAGCGAAAACCAAGTAGCTGCCTAATGAGCATCTCCACGGCCAGCAAAGGAAGATATCATAATGTATAACCTTGCGGTAGGACCCATAGGAGAAACAAAGGTGTGTAGACGGTGGTCTCCTGTTGGGCCGCCCTAAAGGCGTACGACATGAATGGCAGTACGTCCATGCAATTGTCACGTTGTATAAACAGCCATGTACTTGAATTATTACAATGCATGAATTCGTACATTCCGAGAAGCACCTGTCATGTGACGTCATCCGCAAAGGTTTGCAGTTATTGGCGTACCTATATAGACGGTGTATTAAAATGGCACACGGAAGCATAAAAAACACAAAGCATGCTCTAGCAAGAAGTGAGCAAGCGTGAGAATAGTTGCTAGCGTTGTTGCCACAAACCTGGCTGCCTGAAGCTTGCAATGTGTATAACTTCTTGGCATATGTCGAAGAAAAAAGAGGCGACAAAAGACGCAGCTCGGAGTGATGGCCTTTTAAAATCTTTCGCAAGCCATTTTGTGTAAACGTATAGCGTGTACTGTACGAGGTAAGCTGTACTTTTATGAGAGAATGCTCCATACGCTGAACGAGTACGAAATGTTATTTCCGAATCTTATAATCTATAGGTAAGTGTATTTTTATTGAGAATATATTTTTCTAATGGTAGTCGATAACTCGCATTTTATACGTACACAAATTTCTGAAAATGTGCACTTTCAATAGAAGCAACCGTGATTTGAATATACTGGCGGAAAACACGACCACTATTCTTTGTGTTCCCTGCGTCTCAGAAGTACCTAACCCAAAACACCATTAAAATATCATTATTAAGGCATGTTATCACTTCACAAATTTTTCATCAACCTATAAGCTATTATAAGCTGGAAGCTTGAAGGAGCCAGCGGAAGATAACATAGACGGGGGCGCAGAGACAAGGGGACACAAATAATGTTGCTTGTTCCTTCCTCATTGTCTGAGTTACATAGATAGGTATTGTGCAAATGCAATGCTGATTTGTCCAGCTAACGCCCTCGCTTAATCACACAAGTGCTCGACCCCGATAGCATTGCTATAATCGCACGTACCTGCGCCATAAATCGAGCTGTTCAAGTCGTACAGGATCGGAGTGCGTGGAATGGCAAAGGGCAGTGCGGGCTGCTGTCGGATAGTCTGTGATTGCTGCGAAAAGGCGCCGTCCAGCATCCTCGTCTCTGGCAGCCAAGAAGTCAGCTCAAGTCCAAGGAAGAGGCCAGTGACGAAGAACGCTGCTCTTCTGCACACCACCCCGCCTGGTGCGCTGCGACGTGAGAGGCAACGACCTCTTCCGCGGCCTGGTAAGCCTTCCCACGCCATAAAGGATTTTGTCGACCCAGGTTCGACACACTCGAAGCAGTAGCCCTTCCTAGTTTTTCAGACTGAGTCGACACTGCTAAAAACAAAAGATTGGTGTTACAAACAGGATAGTATGAGCTGGGTTAAATGAGAACGCAAACGCCTGATAGCGTTCATTAGGTACAAGTGGTGGATAAAAGTAACCAGAGCAATTGCAGCTTATTCACTGCAAATGCCGCGTAAACGTAGAGGGGCATGCCTAAATACGACAAGCAAACTTAGTAGCAGTCTCTCTTGGCAGCTGAAGCACTTTCACTAAATTCCTAAGGGGACCCCAAACTTTTGGGGCAACGTAAATGGAACTAGACACTGATATCACACTTCAGTTGTAAAATGGGGATAACTAGCGTACGAAGAGAAGAAAACAGAGGTTACGCTGAGTAGTAAAAAATTTAGTGTTACCTTTTTTTTCAACTTAGCTGTCGTACCAGATCCAAAGAAATTAAACCATTTTACTTCTCAGAAATAAGTATGTTGTGCCGAGGATTACTGTTTTAACGCTCTTTATAGACAACTAGACAAGGCCAATGAGCTCTTTCTAGGGAGCTTAGGCTATCACATTTGTCATGATACGTAAGTACATTATAAAGTAGGGAGGACATAATTAAACTTTTTGTAATAACAAATTGTGATGTAATCAAAACTACTACAAAGCATCATGATATCCAGAATACAAACATACAGCAGCTAGCCGAGTTCAGTCGAACATTCAGCGCGGAAAAGTCCAGTAGAATAAAAGAAGGCGGGAGCGGGAAGGAATGTATTGAACAAAATGCGGTGTAAGGTTTCCATTTGAAAGCACGCTTTTCCGGTATCTCATATAAAAGCCATTTCTAAGAGGGATTGGGCGTCGGAACTCAATAAACATATCAATTTTGATCCTCAGAATGACAGGGAGCATGCAAAGCAATAGCCGGACAAGACCTTCACAGCAGCTATAAGGCCACTTTGGTCCTGCATAGAATCAACACCCGCTGTATAGCCTGCTTCATTTTTCCTTATTCATTTATTTGCAATGCTGCTAACCCCAATGAATTCTAGCTAGGTGGCACTGAACATACTACATAGTTTCTGTACACTTGCACAATTCATTCAGAATATTTAAAATCATTCAGCAGGCTATAAGAACATGAAATGTCCGATTTTGCACTGAAAAACGTAATGCAGATTAGCTTTTAGTAGTACAAAATAAATACATCAGGGTTACAATTCAAAGAGAGTTTGAAATTTATCAGTGTTAACCACTGTTTTTTCATCATTATTTCTCCTCATCATCATGCTCAAGGTCGTGGAATCGAATGCCGGCTGTGGCGGCTGCAATATCGATGGAGACGAAAATGCTGTAGGCTCATGTGCTCAGATTTGGGTGCACGTTAAAGCACCCCAAGTTGTCAAAACTTCCAGACCCTTCCACTACGACTTCTCTCATATTCATATGGTAGTTTTTTTTTTCTTACAGAGCAGTCAAGCAAGTCAATCAATCATCATGCTCAGCCTGTGTTAGTCGACTGTAGGACGGGGGCCTCACCTTATGATCTTCAGCTAAGCCTATCATTTGCGAACTCATTACGCTATTCCCTATGTACTTCCGAACTTTACCTCTCTGTCTAACTTTCTGCCTTCCCCGATTGCGTTTTTCTTCCCATGGTAACCATTTTGTTGCTCTTATCGTCCACCAGCTGTCTGTTCTACGTAGTATGCGAAAGCTAAAATGGTGCTAAAGACGGGACGAACAAAAAGGGAACACAACAATGAGCGAACCAATTTTTTTCAAGGCAACTGTATTATATTTTGAACACACTGCATATACGCACAAGCCACAAATTATTTTAAGAATTTACATTCACGTGATAACGACCCCATGGGAAATATCATGGCGACCCTATCACACCAATTTACCCAAATTCATGAATTCACAGGCATGACGTCAAAATTGTTTATTACATGACCAGACCAGATCTATCTTTCTTCGCTTGCTGTCATCTAAATAATTTGCTACTCCTGCCTTCCTTATTAGTAATTTTGCTCTGATTAAATCTCTCAATTTAGTTCTATCACTCTACGTTTTGAAGGAATGAATGAATAGATTTTCTTTCTCGGAGAGTTACAGAAAAATGAAGCGAAGCTAGAAGCCAATCAGCCTGACGTAGCTTCGCTACGCAAAATGTTGAAAGTTCAGCAAACAGTGCTACATTTACTAGTAATTATTAAAATACAAGAAGCAGCAAAATAGCACAACACATCAATAGCATAAGCGCAAAAATAGGCGACGTGGACATACAAAAATCGGCTACAAGACATACAGAATAAGGCATCGAGACTGTTTTCGTTCAAAAGCTACACACATGCAGTATTGTATTATATATTCATACATTCATATAATACACTCATATATTCATACATACATCTCCACATTTGTACGCACATAATTCTGTATATACACGCATTTTGTACCTAGAGATCAGACAGTATATTATTGTGGAACCTAGCTAGGAATTAGGTGAAAACATGATGTTTACTTCAATCCATTGACGAGACCTTTTGTGTAATATTTGAATTGTGTTACTGAGAGCTTAAAATATAATTGTTCACCTAAATAATTTAGTAGGTGCTGGGTGCGATATGCAATTGGGGCTCTACCATACCCATTCCTGGTAGCAGGAACGTGAAATATTGTACGCTACATGGTTCTCAGCTTTTGCTCTAATTGCTTTCTTATTCAAGATTCAGCACTATACATCAGAAACTGCCAGATGCAGTGATTGTATACTCTTCGCTTTAATATATATTGACAGCTTTTATGACATTATTTAGGAGTGCCTGACAAATGCGCTCCAGCCTATTGGTATTTTTCGGTGAATTTCCTTTTTGTGATTAGGTTTTCCCGTGAGTCCTCAGTATACACATTCTCGCATATACTCGTATGCGTGGTTATCTGTCATATTTTTTGTTTCGCCAGCGCAGTCAAGATTTGAGGCTCGCGTTTAATTTTTTTAGCCTAATTCCTCAATCAATGTTGTCTAGTTTGTCGCTATTCTTACTGATGAAACAATGTCATATGCAAATCGTAGGTTTTTAAGTCATCCTTCGTCAGCCTTGATTCTCGTTTCCTCGCACTGTAGCAGTTTCAACAATACTTCTTTGCACACTAGTTGGTTTATACTTGAAAAATTGACTTGCTGCGCAAGCTTGAAGGAAAAGAAGAAGAAAAACAGAAAAAAGGGCAGACAACCAACTGTTTGTTGTCGTTTCATGAAACCAATATATAGGCACGGTAAGCTGTGCTTTCACGATGCGCACAAAATCAAAAATGCCGCAAACAAAGTACTTAGAACTAAACACTTAGAACACTCACGAAACATTTAATTGCAGCAAACACCACAATCTAAACTGCGTATTCAGAAGGTACACCTGCTCTCCTAGTTCATCTATCTAGTTATCTTTTTGAACTTTTATTTCCCCAAGCATCATCCAATGCGTAAACACATGAAAACGTACTTTAAAACTGTTTAAAAAACTTTTAAATACCGCTTAGCACCAAATGAAGCTATGAAAGAACAATTTTTTAATCATCCTAATCAGCACCAAGTGCAAAAAACTATCAAGCAGTACGTCGAGAGAGTTCAGAAACAAAAACCTTATGACGCTTTACTTAGCATCACATGGGAAATGAAACAGGAGAAACGACAGCGCACTCACAAATAGGTCGACAAAAAAAGAAAACGAGAAATCGAAAGGAACTTCTTGTAAGGTGTTACCTACAACTTTAAACATAACCGTGTAGGAAGTCAATTTTTTTGTCCGAAAGTGAGATCGAATGCATGCTTATGCATTTATCATTGAATTGCCAGATGAAATGTGGTTCAATAATCTGTATTTCGGTGTGTTGACGTGCCTTAGTTAAGGCTGACACAATCTTAAATCGGGAGTGGGGGGGGGGGGGAGGCATCCACAAGTTGTACTGGGAAAATCTAAATAGCCACCGTTTTTTTTTTTCCGCGAGACTGTGCTCACTCATGCGACCGTTGAGGCACCACCCTGTCTGCCCTATGTCCACCCTACCATACGACAAAGAGGTCTGATAAACAACAGCAAAAACACACCTAGAGCATAACACGCTTGCATGCTTTTAGAGCATTCGTCTTTTGTCTATTTAGTCATTAACGAACAGATCTGCCCAACTTTGTAGGTGCGGCAAACGCTAAATCAACACCATGCCTATTAGCCAACTTTTCATATTGTGGAAGCATTATGTGGATACGGCATAACATACACATGCCTCCTCTCCTTTTCCTTGGCAAGTAGATCACCGCCCTTGTATTTTTGAGAAGGTTTTCGCAAGCATTAATTATAAACTGTGTTAGGTACCCAGCTACGCTGAGAGGAACTGCATGATTCACAAAGCTTTCTAGCATATTATGCTGGCATGACTTGTCAAGGGCTACTGCACGAGCTGACAGCACAATGCCACTTTTAATTAACTTCGAGTGCGCGCTTTCAACTAGCAACAAGCCTTTCTTGGATCGTGGATTGTATTCATAGCAGATGTGCTATAAATACAATTTATAGCACATCTGTAGATGTATTCAGAGCTGTGTTATTTTAATATAGCAGATTGTATGTATAGCAGAGAGCATGCATTAAAAGCAGAGCACTTCTTAATCGCTTCATGCCGCGCTTCGGCGTTGGTGGTGGAGCCATTCACACCCCCAGTGCGCACGTTCACGTGTCGTGCCCGCCTAGGAAGACAACCGCGAAACTGTCAATCCCCTCACCCCCTCTCCCCTCGCAAGGCCGATGCAGGCAGTGCCTGCTAGTAAAAAAAAAACGACTGCTAGGCACCGGATCCCACAATTGGAATTAAGTCAAGGGTGACTTTACTTGTGTATCAGTTGACGTTGAAGGCAACAATTCTTCACTGAATAAACAAGAATATTGAAGGTGAAATACTGATTATGCAT